AGGGTGTGGGGGGGCACTGGTGGGAGCCCAGGGCTGGGGCAGCAGAGGGTGCGGGTGGATAGGGGAGAGCCCACGGCTGGGGCGGCAGGGTGTGGGGGGGCACTGGTGGGAGCCCAGGGCTGGGGCAGCAGAGGGTGCGGGTGGATAGGGGAGAGCCCACGGCTGGGGCGGCAGGGTGTGGGGGGGCACTGGTGGGAGCCCAGGGCTGGGGCGGCAGGGGGATACGGGTGTGTGGGGGGGAGCCCAGGGCTGGGGCAGCAGGATGGTGCGGGGGATAGCCCAGGGCTGGAGTGGGGGGCAGCCAAACATTTTTTTGCTTGGGGAGGCAAAAAACCTAGAGCCGACTCTGCTTACAACTACCAGGGAGGAGATCCTCAGCTGGTGTAAATTGTCATAGTTTCACTGGCATCAATGGAGCTATGACAATTTGAGCCAACTGAGGATCAGACCTGCATATTTTTCTCTTGAATGAATGTCCAAACCCAACTAAAAATATTCTTTGTGAGGTTTATTACTAAAACACGTGCGACAAAGGAAATGAATGGCTTTTGCCTTCACTAGCATTCAGAGAAATTTCCCAGAGTTACGTAGAAAGAACAAAACATTATCTACATGCCTATACAGCACCTAATTTTTTATACGGTTCAATATAAAAATGATTTAAAGAAAAATCTTGATGTATTAGAGCTATCGTCATAGAATTTTATGACCAGGTTCTTCTTGTTCTTAACTATGTATATGATGGTAGTGCCCAGGGACCTAACCAAGATCAGGGACCCATTGTGTTCAGGGCTCTATACACATGTACTAAGAGACAGGCTCTGGCTCCAAAAACTTAAAATCTAAATAGATAAGACAGGCAAATGATAGAAGAAAGGAAGTATCCCAGTTTTACTGAGGGGAACCTGAGGCAAAGAGAGATTAAGTGACTTGCCCAATTCAATCCAATATAAAAACAGTTGCTTTTATTTGATATGCTTGATTGGGCCTAATTAGTTGGAAGCCTTCGGTAACTCTAATTAAGGATTTTCTGTTAAGCCTTGCAGGCCAAAATTTTTGCATGCTTGGACAGCCTTACCCAACACATGAATGATGCAATCTCCTTGAAGCTAGCCCTGTTGGTTTCATACATGGGAGAAGATAGTCCATTGAGATTTACAAAAATCTTGCTCTCTGAGTTAGTAGGGAAACAGGATTATGATAAACTTCCACAGACTTCACAGGACTGTTGGCAATATTCATAGATTGCCTGCTCTCAAAGAACTGAGGAAAAAATGCATCAGGATGTGAGACCCCATAACTTCTGGAATGTGGAAAAGACTGTAAGGACCACAAGAGAACAGATATAATTTTAAGTCTGTTACAGCCATGATTTTCTTTGGGAAGCAAATATTTTTTTTCTGGATCAAGCAACTCTTATGAAAATAAGGTCCAGTAAATAAATTCAGTGATTTCAGAACTGATCTCTTTAATATTTTTTTATTTCTATACTTGGGGAGTTTTTCTTAAATAATAGAACAAAACAAATAATTAAGAATGAGAGATTTAGTCATTGATTTTTTTCCCCCTCTTTCGCTATCCACAACAGTTTATGATATTCTGAAATTTGTTATTCAAATATATTCATAGACTAGGAATTTTTTTTATCCCTGCTCTGTTGATTGTTTTGCAAGCAGTTCATTATAAATATTTGATATTCCAATTGAAATGTAAGCTCTGTCGATTAGTTTTGATTGGACACCTACCATAGGTTACACAATACCATTTTTATTACCGAGCATAATGATTAGATTTATTTTTCTGGCCCGCATACTTGTGTTTACAAGTTCAGAATCTGCATTATGTAAATATTCTCTAATATTAATTTAAAATGTATCAAGTCTGTAAACATTCCTGCCAGTAAACCTGTATGGGATATTCTATTTTGTGGACATTTTTTTAAATTATCCTCTCAACTCTTCAAATACTATTTTATCCTACTTAAGCTCTTATACCACCCACATCAACATAGTACTCAACCACCTCTCACGTGCAGTTTAATCTCGCTCTCATCACCTCCCCAGGGGAGGATTGTGCATGCAGTGGAGTGTATTGTTGTGGGAGAGTTTTGTTTTGTTTTTAATGTGCATTCTCCTAGGTGATTATATTGGAGAAGGCAGGCTGAAGAAGTGTGCCTTGCACTTGGAGCAGAAGGTGCAAAGGTATGGGATGGTCCTTAATTTCTATGGGAATTCATTCCATAGTCTGACTGGCCCTGAAGAAATTTCAGTTTCCTGCCCAGACGAGCATACCGCACAGGGAAATAACAAAAAGTGTTTTCTCTTGAGTTGATTTTTTGTAATCTCTTACAGCGGCAGTTTCAAAATCCCCCGAGTATAAAGAAATAACCAAATGTTTTTTGGCAACAAACAAATAAAAATATCCAACAATGTTTTAAAAGCTTTTCAGATAAGTAATGGAAGCATATACAATATATCAGCTTTTGAGTCAATTTGCAAGACTCTCCAAAATCATTCTCCTCTAATGTTTAGCAAAAAATGTTTCTTTACTGTTATAGATGCAAGTTATTTAAAATAGGGTACTTGTTTTCATGAGTCTAGAGTCAGACACTATATACTGTTCACGCACATAGCGAAGAATATCCAAGGGAGTTTTCAGTGACACCCCATGTGAAGACCAAGACATCTTTAAGAAAAAAATACAGCAAGATTTGGAATGTTGAACTCACACAGAAAAATTATTATAAAACACACCATATCACCTGCAGGCAAACACTTATCTCAAAACGAT